TGTATTGAGGTTTTTTTCTTTGGTCTTTTTGAGATAGGGTCTCCCTGTAGCCCCTGCTGTCCTGGAACTCATGTAGACCAGGCTGGCCTTGAACTCACAGAGATCTGCCTGCTTCTGCTGGGATTAAAGGCGTGCGACACCACGCCCAGCTGCAGCTGTGCATTTTACAGAAGTTGAATCTATTAGATTTGCTGCTGCAGTTACTGTCATTGTCTTTTCTTCTTTAGCATTTCTCCTTCTTTAAAAAGAAAGAATGAATTTACATTAAGTCTGATGTAGTTCAGTGACTGCACATTACTCTTTTACAGCATTTTCCAGTTATATGTGTATATAAATTCATGATCTACAGAGAATAGAAATGTACACAGTGACCAATGTGCTCTGACCTGCTTTGAGAATGTTTGCATTAGTAGTTTTACCTTGTCTCTTTATTACAATTATAGGATTGTGATATGAAAATGTGCAATTGGACAGATAAAACTCTAAAGAATTTATTGTGCTAACAGGATTTGAAGAAAATGGAATTAATTTTCTTATTATAACTCAATCTTTTCTGATAGTTTTGACTATTAGAAGTTATATCAAGGTAAAAAAACTATGCAAAAACTACTTTTATGGTAGTTCTGCATCTTGCAATATCAAAATAAGACAAATATAATTATGAAACTATGATTATATTGCTATAATGATTGAGGGTCTAAGTATTCTAAAGAACAAAGAGTTTTAGAGCAGGTTGTAAGTAGTACAAAAGTGTTGATTACAGGAAAAGGCTTTTGTCTATTCAGGCTGAGTTAATCTAAAACTTTAATAAATATTAGGAAGAAAGATGTGGTAAAGATATCCACAGTGCTATTTCAGATGTGCAGGACCTGCTGCTAAGAGATGTTTGGTAGCCATTGATGTGAGTGAGATGCCTGTGAGTTAGCCTAAGGAGCCAGATAAGCCAAGTCATTGCAGTGTTGAAGATGGAGGTGGTATGTCAAGTGATGCTCTAACCACATCTACATTGAGGTGGACCTGGGGAGCTGTGAGTAGAAATAAGGTTGGAAGTAACAGGCAGTGACTGACAGTAGCTTGGAAGAAGGATATATACCTGTGTGCTGTTAAATTGAGTGGACTAGTGGGTAGGCAGGGATTGGGGCTAGTCTGGTTGTATAGGCATTAATCATTTCAGGCAGGAGGGCTGCACAAGATGTTGCTGGTAGTGCTACTGGAGAAAGCAGGAAAGGAGACTGGCATGGAGAAGCTAAGATCCATTTCAGCTGTCTCATTAATGAACTACAGGTTTCAGAAGACAGGTAAGTTGAAATTCTTGAAAGTAGATGTAATAAGGACCTAGGGCTGCCTGGTGAGCCTGCAAATGGTTTCATTCCATTGGTATTTGAAATTATAAGAGCATATTTGACTCTGTTGCAGAAAGATAACAGAAGACTTACTTGCTAAATCACAGTTAATTTGAAGGAATTTACCACAGAAACAGTGACCAGAGAAAAGAGACAGAGAAGTGAAATCTGTACATTGTTAGAAGAAACTAAAAACTATGATTGACACTACAGGGGGGAAGGGACAAGGCACAAAGTCCAAACAGAAAGTACTTCACCTAATCTGAAAGAAATGTGAGCTGTGTATGGTGGTAGGAGTAAGGTGTTCTGTGTATGCTGTATTAGTTGAAATTGGCTGCTGTCCTCAGTTTTAAGAGATCGATATAACTGTAGAATAATCTTATTAAGAGGAGTTTGATGGTGAAGTAGGCTTTATCTTTTTATGTTTACATCACAGCAAAAGTTAGAGTGGCTTTAAAAAGAAAAAAACGCAACATCAGAAAACTTCCAGGATTATCAACTATATAGTACTTGACTGCACAAAACCATAGGCAGAAAAAATAGAATTAGTAGATTGTGTGCAGTAGGATGACTGGGGACACACCTAACTGCACCTGAGCCAGAGATCAGTAACAACAACTTTGCATTAGCATGGATTTCTAAGTCAATGAACTCTCAATTTTTAGTGTGAAACTGCTTACAGATTCCATTTGGACAAAGAAGGCTGGTTTAGAAGTGTGGGAATTGTCTTTCCTCACATGTCCCTTGGTGTTGCTGATGCTGCTCCCCTGCTAACAGATAGGGGACCAGTGCAACTAAAGCAAAGTGCCTTAAGGCATTTTAAATTTATAGGGCCTTACTTCTGAACTATTTTTAAAATGTTCTTTGTTACATTAAAAAAAATTTATTTTGCATGCATGTATATGTACCACAGTGTGTATATGAAGCTCAAAGAACAACTTTTTCTTCTACCATTTGGGTCCTAGGGATTGAAATCTGGTCATCCGGCTTGGCAGTAGAAGCCTTTATCCACTGAGCCATCTCTCTGGCCCCTACCTTGAAACTATATTGAATTGATTCAGATTGAGTTTCTGTTTAGAAATACCAGAAAACTCAGAAATAGCTAGAAACACATAGTTTTGGTAACAAAATACCAGGTAGAAACAGGTCAACACTGAAGAAGGGGCACTTTGATTTGCTGGCGGTGGCATAGTCACCCTGACGTACTGAAGGAGGCTACTATAGGAGAAGAGCCAGGCCAGTGGGGAAATAAAATAATTAACTTATTTTTTTCTCTACTCAAAAAACAAAGGAAAATTGCAAAAGTCCTAGCTAAACTTAAGGTGAAAGCAGAATTTGTGAATGTATAGAAAAGGAATAGCACATATTCACAGAATCCTTACTAAGAGTTTATTAGTACTTTCTCCTTACAAACCTTTAGATTCTTTAAGCTTGGGGCATGTCTATTTAATGTGGCCATTGAAACTTACGTTCTGATCACATTCTGAATGAGTCATTTAAAGTGAAAAGGTAAAATATAGTCATTCAGTGGTATCTAAAGGGAATTGATTCCAGGATCCTGTGCACATGCCAAAGTCTGAGGACACTCAGGTGTCATATAAAATGTTAGAGTATTTGCATATTGCCTATACATATTCTCCCATGTATTTTAAGTTATCACGGGGGTAGTTGTTATGTCTAATATAATGCAAATATTATGTAACTAGTTGTATTGTTTAGGGAATAATGATGAAGAAAAATCTGTACCTGTTCAGGACAGATGAGTGCAGTCTGTAGCTGGTTGACTCTGTGGGTATAAAGCATATGGGTATGGAGGGTCAACTGTATGTTCTGTCTCTGGTTCAGCTGAGAAGGCACTCAGAATAATAGTGTGAATTTTGTTTTTCTGTTTTGATCTTTTTGAGACAGGGTCTCCCTATAGCCCCAGCTGGCATAGAACTCACTATGTAAACCAGGCTGGCTTCTATCTCTATCTTACAAAGGTCCCTCTGCCTCTGCCTCCTGAGTGCTGGGATTAAAGGTGTGTGCCACCATGCCTGACTGAATAATAGTTTTTATTGATGCTTGCCTAACTTGAATTTTCTCAGGATTAAAACATTAAGGAAAAAAAAAAACAAACGTTTATTTGTTATAGTGCCTACTTTGACTCAGCATTTTGAGATCAAATCATCTTTGTTCTGATATTGAGAGAACTTAAAATTTTTCCTCTTGAACAACTAGTTGACTGGGACATGAAATTTATTTGTTAAAACATCATCTTCTGGCCAGGTGTGGTGACACCCACCTTTAATCCCAGCGCTTGGGAGGCAGAGATAGGCAGATCTCTGTGAGTTCAAGGCCAGGCTGGTCTACATAGTGAGTTCCAGGACAGCTGGGGCTACAGGGAGACCCTGTCTCAAAAAGACCGAGAAAAACAAAACAAAACAAAACCTCAAAACCATTGTCTTCCATTTATTTTGACCTTACATGTTCTGACATAATTAATTTAAAGATTTGTTTATTTTTATTTTAGGTGTGTTTTGCCTACATGTATGTGTGTATACCACATGGGTGCAGTGCCTTTGCAGAGGTCAGAAGAGGGCAGTATTCCCTGGTAATGGAGTTGCAGAGGGTTGTTAGCCTACCATGTTGGTGCTTAGAACTGAACCTGGCTAGTGTTCTTAGCCTCTGAACTGTATCTCTCTACCTCCTGAGCTAGCATAATTTAATAGCAATTCTAATTAAGTTTATGTGAAATTATTTAGCTTATTTCTCTTTTCTGTTTGCTTTCCTAACCCACATCTCCTTTTCTCCCATAATCTTTGTGAAAACACACATGAAAAAACCCTACCTATATTCTTTCTATAAAGAAAAGCTGCTAATCTCAAATTCTTAACTCAATTATGCAGTTTGCACACATTTTGGCTTATCTTAAAGTTTGCATTTCACCTGTCTCAGAAGTAGACAGACTCGGCTTTCATTAGTTCTTAGAATAATACCTGCTGTCATGAGTTATTTGGCAAGTCTTTCTTCCTGTCTACACACATGCCAAAAGTTGGGAATGAATGGAAATTAAAACACACTTTTTTTTTTTCACTAGGGAAAAACAAAAACACAACAAAACAAAAACTTATGCTTATTGCTTTTCTTTGTAGGTGTGACATTAAAGCCCTTTACTTTTATCATCTCTGACTTTTTGTCAGTGTTTGCTTCTCACTCCAAGTGTGTTAAGATTGTTGAATAGTCTTATTGAAGCCTTTCAAGTTTTTATGTGTATGACATTTTTCTATGCAGCTATTGGAATATGTGACTTCCCTAGAATTCAATAATCAAGAGAAGGCTGCCTAAGTAATAATTATATTTTAATTGTCAAAGTTAAATGATCTGTTTTTAGATCACTAATATATGAGAAATCTGTGTTTTAGAAATAATTTTGGAGTAAATACCAAATTTCCTATGTATTAGTATACGTTTGAAATATGGGAGGCAGAGGCAGGTGGATCTCTGTGAGTTCAAGGCCAGCCTGGTCTACATAGTGAGTTCCAGGACATCTGGAGCTACAGGGAGACCCTGTCTCAAAAAGATGAAAAAAAATACAACAAATTATAAGCTTAATATTGGTGTTATTTTTTATAACTCTAAAATTTAAAAATTACTATGTATAAGCAAATTGTGATTTAATGCTTCCTAGTTTTCAATGTCTCCTAAAATGCAACTAAGCTTACAATGTTCCCTTCCTAAGATATTTTCATATTTACCAACTTTTCTTGGGTTTCATTCTTTTGGAAAATGTGTTGATGAGTTATTAATTCATAAGCAGCTAACTAAGAGAATTATTTATTATGGGCATGTCGTATCCTTTGCAGAAGTCAGTTTCTTGTGTATGCCATAAAAATGGTGATGACATTTCTTTCTGTTTGAAAGAAAGTCTTATGTGCTTATAATTTCCTCCCTTGCCTGTGGAATATTTGAGTCATGCCAGGGATTAATTTTGGTTTGAAATAGAAAACGATTGACTTAAAATATAAACGTGTATTCAGCTGCAAATGAATCTACCCAACATAGAAGGAACACTTCTAAAATAAGTCAAGGATTAAAACTGCCACCAGTGGAACTGGAATTTGGGCAGTTGGTGACATAAGCTGGTGTTAGCATTGGCAGCACAAAGGTTGCAGTCTTGACACAAGAAGGAAGTGGGACCAAGTCTGGAGCAGTTTCTCTTATGTGTCAGACACAAGTAGTCTTTTCTTTAATATCAAGCAGGTATGCATTGCTGTTCCAGTGACTATCCCTTCAGACCGACCATGGTCATGTGAAGAGTTTTTAAAACACTTTTTCAATTTTAAAAGATATTAGTCTTTTTTATGTCTTAAATTTAGTAGTATATAATCTTTTTCTTAATCTTTTCAGTTTAGCTCTCTAAGTCAGGACACAACTGCATAATAGCAACTGCTGTCTGATTGTATCTGTGCCTCCAGAAATTCATATAATAGACACAGCATGGAGTAGCTCTGAGGACACAGGAAACTCTGGAAGCCTCATGCTCTGTGTTAAACAGGTCAAAGAGTAGGTTCACAGCTACAGACACAAGTCTATCTTCAGTTTCAAATCAAAGAAATATTTTTACCATCAATATGGCTGTAAGTGTATGTTTTGAAGATGAGTTTGAGTATTTATAACTATGAGTGAAATCTTATAATTATCTAATACTCGTCTTGAGATGGACAGCACAAGCCCTGGAGCAGAAAGGGTAGTGTGCTGGTAGCTGGCAGCAATAATTGATCAAAAAGTAGGCAACAGTTTTAACTATTTTCAAGTGCATAATTCAGTGACATTGGGTAGAGCCACAGCGCTATGCAGCCACCGGCATGATCTGGTTTTATAATGCTCCCATGTCTACAAAAGACAGCCCTTTGCTGACTGAGCAGTTGCTTCCCATTCTCTCCTATTCAGCCCCCTGATCACTAAACTGATTTCTCAGTGTAGATTTTCCCATCTGGGATGTTTCATAGAAAAGAATTCCACAGTGTGCATGTTTTGTATCTTTCTTCTTACATTTAGAGTACTGTTGTCAAGGTTCATCTTTTTTTAACATGTATGAGTGCTTCACTCCTTTTAGAGGCACAATAATAGTCCATTATTAAACATACCACATTTAAAAAATCCATTTATTTGTGTCTACCTTTGGCTGTCATGAGTAGTGACGCTATGATCATTTGTAAACAAGTTGTTGAAACGTCTCTTCAATATTTCGGGACATGTACTGTGAAAATTCGGGGGCATATGGTAATTCTATGTTTAACTTTTTTTCATTATTCAAAGACTACTTTATTATTTTCTGTAACTAAACCTATATAGATAAGACCTTACCTATTTAATACAGGTGTTACCTGTTTAATAGAGTGGAAAAATAAATTTAATGTTTCTAGACTAAAAAAAAAGTGGGCAACAGAACTATTTGTTATAATTTAAAAATTATGGGACTGGAGAGATGGGTAAGTGGTTAAGGGCATGGGGCTACTCTTGCAGAGGAGCTGGGTTTGGTTTCCAGCACCCATATAGTGGCCAACAACTGTTAGTAACTCCAGTTTCAGGGGATCCAATGCTCTCTTCAGACCTCTGTGTGCATTGCATGCACACGTGCGCACACACACACACGCGCGCGCGCTCACACACATATGTATATATATTTGCAGATAAAATACTCATACACATAAAAATAAATATGTTTATCAGTAATAGTTATAGTTTTCGTAGAATCATAAACTAACAAAAGAATTATGAGTTTCTTATCCTCATTGTACAGTTATAATTTACTTTTGTCTTTCCACACTTAAAATCTCAGGTCCATGGAATTGTACGGCGATCCAGTTCATTTAATACAGGCCGAATTGAGCACCTGTATAAGAATCCCCAGGCTCATATTGAAGGAAGTAAGTAATTTTTTGTCTCTAAAATATCTTTCTTTAACTTGCTATCTTTAGATAAGGTGTTTTCAGGTGTCATTATTCTTAGAAGGATATTGAGTAGATATCTTGAAGAGACCAAGGGAGGAGATAAAACATTGATCAGCTGTCTTCAATTGAGGTGTCTTTGGTCCTTTCTAGTAAGAACAGTTTTATATTTAAAAAGTACTGTTTGGTTTTTAATATTGTCTTTACTCAAGTTAACTTATTTTTTTATATTGAATTTTTAAAATAATTTGTGAGGACTGGTCTAAATCCTGATGGTGATCTGAAACTATATTCAAATTCCTTTATAGTACAGTGTTAAGATTTACAGGCTTTGTTACTTTTGTTGCTGTTAATAAATTTGCCTGGGCATAGCTGTTGTGATTTTACATATTCTGTGATAAAGGCAGAGCTGGGCCTAGGACATAGGGCTTTAACTCCAAGTTCAGCCTGCATTACTTGGTTTTTCTGTCCAGCAAGGATGGTACAGCCATCTTTGTAACCTGAAGGTAATTTAGGTTCCCTGCCCTTGAATAATTGAAGGTTGGATTACTTTATAGGTATTGATATCATCAGGAAGGTGATCTAGTTGTCCACAGAAAAGGCTTTTCACTTTAATATTTAAGCTATTAAGTGCATCTTTCTTAGCAATTACTAGAGGTTGAATATTCCTTATCTAAATCTGGGGACCAGAATACTTTTGAATTTGACATTTTTTCAGATTTGTAATGAAATAGTTACAAATAGGATCCAAGTCTCAAAATCTTTTTTGATTTATTGACTTTTGTTTTATGTATATGAGTATTTTACCTGCATATATGTAAATATACCTGTGTGTACAGTGCCTATAGAGGCCAGAAGAGGTGTCAGATCTCTTGTAACTGGAGTTATAGATGGTTGTTACCTGGGAATTGAACCCAGGTCTCTGCAAGAGCAGCCAGTGGTCTTAAACTGTGGAGCAATTTCTCTGACCCCAGAACCCGTCTTAACATAAAATTTATTAATATTTCATATATACTTTATAAAATAATTTATGAAATATTTTATATATTTAATTACTATAAAATTTTTTCATGTGTATGAATATTTTGCCTGCATGTATAGAAGTGCACAGATGCTTGCAATGCCTGCAGAGACCAGAAGATGGTGTCAGATCACCTGGTACTGAAGTTATATATAGTTGTTAGCTGTATACAAAAATTACAGGTTGTTATTAGCTGCCATGTAGGAGCTGGAAACCAATTCTGGTCCTCTGCAAAAGCATCCTGTGTTCCTAACCACTGAGCCACCTTTTCAGCCCGTATACAATATTTTAAATAATTTTATGCACAGTTTTCACTGGTGGAATTTTGCACTTGTGGTATCAGTTGTTAGTACTTTTAAAAAGTTTTGTTTTGGTTCATTTCACATTTTGAATTTTAAGATTAGAAATGCTCAACATGTATTTTTTTGTTGTTGTTGTTCAGAGTGTAGAATGATACTGCCATAGAATTTAGATCTAGATCGTTGTCCCATAAAGCAATGAAAAAAAAAAAAACCAGACTATTCACCATGCTCACATTCTTATATTAATAAAATTAGTATAAGGATCAGGCTAGACATAGGAATTGGAATAGGCTGGCTGTCTTCAAGCAGTTATGCTACCACCTTAAGCATATCATAGGCAGCTTAAGGGTATATTTTATAAAGCATTTAAAAATCAATAGATAAAAGTATCAGAATAGGGCCTGGCGAGATGGCTCAGCAGTTAAGAACACTGGCTGCTTTTGCAGAGGACCCAGGTTTGATTCCCAACATCCACATGGCAACTAACAACAACTTGTAATTTTTTAGATTTTATTTTTAATTATGTGTATATGTCTGTGTATATGCACATGAGTGCAGGCCCTGGAGGCCAATAGAGAGTGTTGGATCCACTGGAGCTGGAGTTACAGGCAGTTATGAGTGGGTGCTGGGAACCAAAGTTGAGTCCTCTACAAGAGCACTACATGCCCTTAACCACTGAGCCATCTCTCCAGCTCCCAAATCTCACTTTTATATAAAACATATTTCAACTACTTAGAGTTCTATGATACCTATAACATAATTGTATAACATCTTCAAGAGATTAAAAGATTTTAAACAAGTCCATTTGAGTTTACTGTTACAAATCCATAAGATATATCTTTCTGCTCTGTATGTTCTTTAAAAATAGCAGTTATACTCTGCTACTTGGGAATCATGAAATACAATGTTTCTGGATTTTTCTTCTGTTGGGGGAGGTAGAGATGGCAAGATCTTGCTAAGTAATCCAGGCTAACCTCAGATTCAAGATCCTTCTATCTTAGTGTCCCAAATGTAAGGATTGCAAGTAGGCTCCATTCTGCCTGCCAACATTTCTGTTTTGACCTGGTTTTCATTCTTGTGTAATATGCATTTCATTTTTGACATCTCAAAAACAATGTTTGTCTTGTTTACTTTTATCTAATGATCTGTTTCTGAATCCTAAAGACATGAAATTGCACTATGGTGACCTCACTGACAGTACCTGCTTGGTGAAGATCATTAATGAAGTTAAGCCTACAGAGATCTACAACCTTGGAGCCCAGAGCCACGTCAAGGTAAGGCCTTCTCATTGCCATGGTCTCTTTGGCTGTGTCCACACAGTGTTCTCTGTTTCACTTGTCTGTATTGTGACTCAGTGCAGTAACAGAACCGCTGGTCCTCATCACCAAGCTCACTCCTCCATATTATTTTAGGAATTAGTACTAATAAAAATGCTAATAGGTTTCTTTTTTAAAGATGTGGTTTCTGTTACTGAAAAGTATAAAAAGATCTTATTCCTAACATTAAAATAACAATTTACATTTATTTTGGTTTGTTACCTATAGTCATTTTCTGCCATTTCATATCGATTTGTGAGAGAAGTATTTGTTAAAATGTTAGAAGGAATAACTCAGTAAAACCTTAATTTTAATGCTAATTTTTGGTAGCAGCTATATGACTGGCTAATGGAACAATATTCTTTGAATCCTAATAATATGTTAAAGTTGACTGAATTGTTGTGAATGGTAAAAGATAATGGAAGAAAGCTTTTTTTGGCCATTTCTTCCTCATTGTGACACTCCCAACATTGATTTCTTCCCTGTACTCAGATTCTCTGGTTCCTTGTATACCTTTTGTAGCTATTCTATCTGGAATAAATCAAGGTAAACCCGAGAAGCTCATCCTAGCCTTCCAGCTTGCTTGACTCAGGATTTTGTGGCTGTGTCCTGATGCTCCCCAGGCTGAGTGAAATCTGAAACCAAGGTTGATTCAGTCGATTTAGATATCTGTTCAGTCAGGTGGTTAGCAGAGCTTAGAAATAAAAGCAAATAGCTCTAAGTTATTTTTTTTTTAAAGTCCAGAAAAATCTGTCAACACATTTTATATTTTGTGAACAAATACAATAATTTTATTTGAATAAGTGTTTGAGGTGCCCTGGTATTTCTCCATGTCTTCAGCTTTGTACAGAACAAAGACAGTGTGCCTGCTTTCCACATCTTTGCTGCTTAAGGCAGGAATTAGGAATCAAGACTAATGAAACAATGCAGTAAGTCTAGCCATGTGGTAACATACTTTCAAAATTAAGGGTCACTCTTCAATATATTTTTCTCTAAAATATGCCTCAAGTTTTACCACATATCGGTCATAAAGATACCTCTTATCTGCCTATTTAGGAAAAACATCTTTCTCTCTCTCTCTTTCTCTCACTCATGCTCTTGTCTCTTCGCTCCCTCTCCTTTCTCTTTCTTCTTTTTTTTTTCTCTTTCTGGTGTTGAGAATTGAACCCAGGTCCTCATACATGCTAATACTACTATACCAGAGCTACATCCTTAGCTTCTTTTCTTAATCTTTGATTATCCTGCTTTATATCTAGGCTTAAATTTTGACCTGTGAAATCATGAGGGTCTTTATGTTTGAGGGGAGCTGTTTTCCTGAAGAATTTTCAGTCTTTTCCCATGTTGATAGGGTGTTTCAAAATTCTGTACTCTACAGATTATCTGTTCTCTTTTCCTACTGAGAAGGACTGGCTATCATTTCAGGAATGAAAACTATGTTCCCCTGATTGAGACAGGCAGTCTGTCTTTAACAGTGTAACTCATCTGCCTGCTTTTAACCTTCCTGACTAGTCATTGAGAGCGTATTCCATACAAAATATAGTGTTTGGGAATGAGCATTTTGTTATTCGGTTTCCCTAAGAAAAAAGTTTCCTTTTTGATCATAGATGGTTTGTCACCACTAGAAATTACAAACCAGCATGGAGGGAAGATTGAGGAATTTTTATAAATGTTTGCTTACAGACAAACTTTCTCTCATGTTGCTATCCAATGAACTGGTCCTTTCCATTCTCAAAAATATAGTAGCAGTTCTGAAATTTCCTCCAACTAAAGGAAATACAGTGAGTACTGTAGTGCTTGGGTATCATTCTGGAATGATTGTACTCTAACTAATAGGAAACAAAGATAGTTGGGATGATTCCTTCTAAATTACTATGTATGTGAATTTTTCTGTTTCTATGGTATTTTGGCTGCTTTTCTTAAAGTGTCAGTTCATTGGCAGGACTAGTGCTTAATTAAGAATTTTTAAAAGTTATTTTTATTTTATGTGTTTGAATGTGTTGCCTACATGTATATAAGTGCACCTGTGTGGTGTAGTGCCCACAGAGGTCAGAAGAAAGCATTGGATTCTCCTGGGACTGGAGTTATGGAGGGTTGTAAGTACAATCAAATCCAGGTTCTCTACGAGAGCAGCCAGTCCTCCTAACTGCTGAGTCAACTTTCCAGCTCCTTAATTAAGAATTTTGAGATTTTTTAAACATTTCTTTCTTTATTTTATTTGTGTGTGTGTGTGTGTGTGTGTGTTTGTGCTATTTGTGTGCATGCACATAGTGCATAAGTGGAGAGCAGATGACAACTTATAGGACTTGCTTCTCTCCTTCTACCTTGTGGATACTAAGGATCAAAGGCAGGTCATCAAGCTTGGCTGCAAGCACTTTTACCTGCTGAGCCATCTCAGAATTTTGTTTTTTAAAGTCATTTAATCCTTTAACAAATATTTGTTTAGTATATAAATCATGAAACGTATCATGCTTGGTATAGTGGAGAACAGAAATGCATAAAATCCACTTGAGGGTTTCAGTTTAATAAGAGTGATTGCTGCACATGTCTGAAGCTGGCACAGAAGCTTTGAGTCTTTAGTGGAAGGTGAGAGAGAAGTTCCTTCTGAGGGATTATGGATGGCTTCAAGGAGGCCTGAGCATTGGCTCTGGTCTTGAGGTATCTGGATGGCATTTATAGGTATAGTAGGAAATGGAACGTTAAAAATGGAGGTAATAACAAAACCAAGAATCTGAAATGTGGAAACTTGGGCCATGTTTCAGTGTGGACAACATTCAAATAATCAGTTGAGCACCAAGAACACTGCAGAAAATATGAAATTGGACTAGATTGGAAGCTGCAGTATCCCAGTAGCTTCTGTATGTGTTGAACAGGGGAGAAATGCATTTAGACATGAATGTTAGTGTCAGAATATACAGCTAAGGCTATAAAAGATGGGAAGGTGTTGTATGAGGTGTTGGCATCAGAAATGGAGGAGGAGGATGGAACAAGTTACCTGATAGGTTGGATGGACTCCGTAGCCACTAGGGAGGTGGGATAGTCATAGTGCTCAAGTGACCAGATAGTTGATAGAACCACTACAAGAGATTTTACTACCAGTACCTGGGGATATTCAGGTGAAGCAGGTCATGAGGTAGTTTAAAATTAGTGCAGTACAAGACTCTCTTGGGTTCAGCTCTTAGAGCCCTTGAAATGTGGCTGGAGAAGAAAGAAGACTGAAGATTGTCTTTTGGGAGCATGCCTCTGGGTAGAGGGTACAAGGAAGAAAAGTAGGGTGGTGGAAACTGAGGAAGGAGGAGGAATGGAGTGGAATTAAGAAGTTCGGCTGTTTCAGGCAGAAGGGGCTAGAGGACAGGAAAGATCAATAGCTGAGGCATAATTCTGGAGCTCACTTGCATCTTTTTTGTTTGTTTGCTTGCTTTTGCCCTGCTGGGGATGGAACCCAGGGCCTAATGCATGGTAGATAAGTATTGTGTCAGAGCCACACCCATGCCTATCTAAGGAATTTTGAAAAAGAGCACTGGAAGAAATGAGACTGAAGTAGCACAGGGATTTTAGAAGCCGAGGACTTAAGAGGGAAACGTAAAGTGAGCAGATTGCTTTCTAGAATTTCCTAGTGGGTTGAAGAGACAACAATATAGTAAGGCTTGTCTCAGCATCCCCTCAATGTGGGTAGACCTCTTCCACAGAAGCTCTGATTCTTAAGTCTAGGGTGAAGGTGAGAACTTTGGTTTCTAAGATGTGTCCAGCCTGGTCTGGGAACCACATTTTGAGAATCATTTCTCCAGTGTCTGATGTCTTGGTTCATCCATGAAGTTGCCTTAAATAGTATGCTTCTTAGATTTTCCTCTTTTAATGTGTCAGCTTTTGAGTCTGATATAAAGTGTCCTATTCCTTACCTGTTCATAACTATGAGCTTTTAGCTTTAAAAGTACACCTGCAGTCAAGAGTCAGGAAAATGGAGAGTCTGAGGGGACTCTGCTAGACCTTTATATAAGCCCCAGTTCTTTACCCTCACAAGTCTTTTCCAAGCAGTGTTTAGCCTGTGGTAGTGAATACCTCCCAGTTTTCCCCTAATAATCAGAGACAAAGCATGAGTACAATCCATAGTTACCATGCCCTTTAATATCCCCTTTTATTTTTCTTTTTTAATTTTTTAAAATTTTTATTTTATGTGTATGTGTGTATTGCCTGTATGTAGGTAAGTGTGCCTGTGTCATGCAATGCCCACGGAGGACAGAAGAGGCTATTGGATCCCCTTGGAACTGGAGTTACGGATAGTTGTTAACTGCCATTTGGGTGCTGGAATTTGAACCCGGGTCTTCTGCAAGAACAGCCAGTGTTCTTAACCCCTGAGCCATCTCTCCAGCCCCTTAAAAATCCTATTTTCATACCTATGTCTAGGCTAAAGATAAGCTGTCTTGTAGTCATGGGCCAAGAATTGGGGTTGGGCAAGGCCCAGTGTATTCATTGCTCACCTACCAGGCAGCTGGGCCATGCTGCTTTGTGTTCACAGCTCTCTAGGCAGTGTTTTGGGTTTTAGATTTTGATCTTTAGATTATTATCTTACTAGGGGATGCAAATATTTGTCAAAATTAATTTCTCTATACTGATCACCATTGTAGAATTTACTGTGTTTGTAGCAAAAATTTTTTTTCTAAAAGAAACATTTGTTTCTGACTAGTGGAATGCTTACGGTAAGATTAAAATGAATGTCATGTTATTTTGTGCTGTTTTGAAAGATGGTTCTAATATTAGTACATTTTGTATTTAATTTTGAATTCGTGACTTCTAGACGGGGCATTGTTTTTGTTGGCTTCTATTTGTGCAAAATAAACTCTTCTGTCACTCACTTCCAGTTAATTTTGTATGGGCCGTGGTATGCTAAAAGTAAGGAAAGTAAAATAATAGGAAGTTGGTCTGGTTTCCTGTAGGAAACCAATGAAGATGAAATTGGTTCT